GAAACATTATCTTTGTAAGTTTAATGATACTTAAAGGAAGTATAGTTCAAAGGAGAAGGTCTATATATAGAATGCAGAGTATCTGCTTTTAGGATGAACACTTGTGCTTTCCTGCTTACAGTTTTCCTTGACAACGTTGGTTTTATATGTAGTAATACACTAATGGAAATAATTTTAACCAGATTATGAGTTGATGTTAAGATTTAGGAATAGAGAATTAGATTATTGGATAAGTATACTAATTAAGAAATAAGTTCTTAATAATGTCATGCTGAAATAGCTACCACTTCTCAAAAAATCCTGGCAGGGTCTCAATGATACAGAGCTGCTTCCTTCCACTTGAGAGAGTTCATTGCATTTTCTTACCTAAATGGTATTAAGATTTTCCATTTCATAATATGTAAGGATTGCTTGTTGATTGATGGGGAAATGAAATTGACACATATTTTGCAGTTCTGGGATGAAGCATATTAATTGCCTTTGAAAGTTAGTTTTATTCATTTTTATAAACATTTTAATCACATTTCTGGTTGTGTGTGTGTGTGTGTGTGTGTGTGTGTGTGTGTGTGTGCATAAGCATCATGCACATGTGTGATATATACATGCCATGGTTTGCTGGTATCGGTCAGAGCATAACCCACAGAAGTCAGTTCATTCCTCTGCCATATAGGTCCTGGGGACTGAACTTAGATTGTCATACTTGTTACAGGTGCCGTTACCTACTGAACCACCCTTTGGGCCTTGCCTTGGTTTTGCTAAAGGATAAAGAATAGAAGGGTCTATAGTTTAACAATTACATTACGCAACAGTGTGTCAGAGACTACTGTGCCTTAACTTTCACTTAGATTTCCTTTTCTTCACTCTTCTGATGGAGATTGGGATTTGTGTGTATATTTAGCAAGCATCCAAATCACTACACAGTTACCTATTTACTTGGTTTTTCAAATGTCATTTATTTCATTAGAATAGCACGTATTTGTCCACTGGACCTGTCTTTCATATTTTTCTCTGTGATTTCATTCAGTCCATCTCTATATTGATTTTCTGAAATTAGTATTTATCCTGAAACTATTTGGACTACACACACACCAAAAAAATTAACTTTGCACATTCCCACTTTTACGTCTAAGAAGAGACTCCCACAGAGCTAAACCACGCTGCTCCTATTGTTCCCTAGCTTATTAATAGCCATATCATTTCCCACCACATCTGCATCCTTTAACTGCTTTTACCCCTGCCTTCAAGATGCACCTCATTAGTTTGTCACCACTACTGTACTGTACCTCGACGGTGTGTTGTTCTCCTGATCAGCCTCTTCCTGCTTTCAGCTTCCCAGTAACTAACATTCAGTCACGCTGCCTTCCCTTCCCCAGTGGGCATTTGTTGCCAGGTTGTTCATTATTACAGTTCACAGCATTCACAGTTGGGTGAGATAGATGATTACTTTTCTCCTCCTGTAGTGAGCATAGTACCTTTCAGTGCTATGAAGGCTAGTCAGTAGGAATGAAGCTTTGAGGTCAATACCAGTTTGATTTCTTCATGCTCTATGACTCAAGTGTGTGGTGTCTTCAACAGTAGGGTCTTAACCACAAGTTTTGGAGGGTAACCAAGAGCAATAACCAATAGCCAGTAATGTTTGGGGATGTATTGGAGTTCATTAGCCAACAGCTCATGGCACTGAGCCTTTTATTTGCTAGTGTGTGGTGTCTAGTAGGGGCATAGTCCCCAGTTATAGAGTAACTCTGTTTAAACTCTTTACATATGTATATGTTTTAGGAAACTTCTTTGGTAGTGGCTTTCCACGAAACTTTTTCAAGTTTTTTATTTTTTGGTCTTTTTGAGGCAAGGCCTCACTGTGTCCCCAACTGGCTTAGAACTCACTAAGTCCAGCAGGCTGGGATTAAAGGTGTATGCCACCATGTCTGGCCAAGTGTTTTATTTTTTGAAATGGTCTTACTATCCCTGCCTGGTCTGGAACTTATTTTGTAGGCAAGGCTGACTGATCTGTCTGTCTCTGTCTCCCAAGGGCTGGGGTTAAAGGCACGCATCACCATAGCCAGCTCCATATTTTTTAAAACAATTTAAATTCTTTTTGTCCTTATCACCCAGTGCATGTTTAGCCAACTGTAGACTGCACTTAACTAGAATATAGTGCCATTAGCTACATTGAAAAAATTTTTGGTGAATGCATAACTACAAAATAAGAATTTAATATAATAATTGACTATTTCTCTCTTTCTAGAATTAGTTAAAAATATAATCTCAGGGGAAGAAGCAGAAAACTTATACCACATACTTAGGATGATTGCTTCAGTTGAGTGCTAAATTTAGATAAGACCCTGTTGCCCGAGTTCTGTAATGGTCCCTTGCTCCTGACGCAGGTAGACAAACCTTATAACACATCCTAATTTGAATTTTGTATAGTTTATACCTTTGTGGGGGGGGCGGTGGGCAATGTACAAAAAAATGAACACCCAACACCCTGCACCCAGCTCTGTGTGGCTTGGCCCGCCATTCCGGATCTCTTTTGTCCATGGTCTGCCTCATCTTGCATCCCCACATGCCCACTCACCCCACAGAGTTCTGTGAGGGGTCCACGGGGACCTCATGAGGTCCCCCAGCGCCCCACAGGGTCCACGGCTGGCCTAAAACCTGTTACATAGCTGAAAATAATCTTAAACTTTCTTACCCCTCAGCCTCTGTCTCTTGAGTGCTGGGATTACAGGAGCACTACCATGCCCAAATTTATACAATACAGGGATGGAATCCAGGGCTTCATGCATCCTAGGCAAGCGCTCTACCAACTCTGCTATATCCTCAGCCCCAGTATTTTCATATTTAAATTTTTTTGGTTTTGTTTTTATGTGTGAGTGTTTTGCCTGTGTGTATATAGATGCACCCATGTGTGCAGCGTTCCTGGAGGCCGGAAGAGGGTGTCCGATCTCCTGGAACTAGAGTTACTGACAGTTATTAGCCTCCATGTGGGAGCTGGGAACTGAACCATTGTCCTCAGAAAGAGCAGCCAGTGCTCTTAACCTCTGAGCCATGTCTCCAGCCCCAGTATCTTAGTATTTTTACAGTAATAGATAAACACATTTTTCAGTGGAAGCATTGAATACAAAATAATGTGGTAAAATTCCTTCTTAATGTACCTAAACTCTAATTTGCTAATTCTCTTCTCCCAATGGAACAGTTATTTGTAAATTAATCCAGATATCTAAAGTAGTCACATTGTCCTCAGTGGTAGTATAGAACACAAGCTACAGTAGTCTGAACGTTGCTTTTTAGCACTATATATTAGCTCTAGTGTTCTATACTGTTGAATTCTTGAATTTTTGTTAAATAGCACAGGAGATATTTCCACTTAATTTTTCTCACTTTCTACCATCAAAGTTTGTATCTGTTTTCCTTTTCAGTGATGTGCCAAATTTTTCTAAGTACTGCAGTTTGAATATCTTTTATCCAAAATGCTTGAGACCAGAAGTGCTTTGAATTTCTTTTTTTTCCATATTTTGGAATAATCTTGACAAAGGAACCCAACTCTAAAGACAAAACTTGTTTTATTGTACTTTATACACTGAGCCTGAAGATAATTTTACTCAGTATTTAAAATATTTTTATATATAAAATAATGTTTGACAAAGAAGTCTAATGTGGAATTTTCTAGTTGTGACATCATACCAGGACTCAAAAAGTTTTGGAGTTTGGATTATAATTAATCTATGCTTTAAGAAAGCAAAAAAAGTAAACCTCAATTTTAAATTTATTCTTTTTTTCCCTCTGTTGTCTGCAGTACTGCTATGTGAATTTATACTGTATGATTAAAATATTATTTGTTCACAGATGTCATAGAATTTAATGACTGAATAGTGTTAGGAAAAGTAAAAGTCAAGAATGACACCCTGGGGCTGGAGAGATGTCTCAGTGGTTAAGAGCACTGGCTACTCTTGGAGGGAACCTGAGTTTGGTTCCCAGCACCCACATGGTGGCTAATAACACTCTGTAATTCCAGTTCCAGGGGAATCCATGACCTCTTCTGGTCTCTGCAAGCATTGTACAGTGTGGGTGCACTTACATACAGGCAGGCAAAATACTCATACACATTTTAAAAAAGAAGGTGTCTGTAAACCCAACCCCTCATTGAGGAACTGTGGGCAGTTACTGTGTGCTAGGAGGAGGGTTGTGATTTCTTCATTAGGGTGTGCAAGCAACCAGAGTTAAACTCAGTGAGTCATCACCCCTTGTACAAAAAAGACATCAAAGTAGGAGGGAACTTGTTGGAAGGAAGAAGGATTTTGGAGGTGGTGGTAAGAAAGGTAATGTGGGGTAACATTTATGAGACTGCAAATGGAGATGTTAGTAGAACAGCTAAATGTTCACGTTCAGAATCTAGAAGAGATAGGAGTTGAAGATAAACATTTCAGAAATACCCGCCTATTTTACACTATTTGCATATGTAGGAATAGAAGAATTTTAGTAGTGATTGTTGATAGATGAATCGGGTCAGTTGGGAGAAAGCACCAGGACACAGATAAAACTCCAGCGGGATAGAGTTTATTAGCAGAGGAAAGTCACACAGGACAATTCCCTTTGGGATAGGGAAATTGTCAGCCCACAAGTTGTGGGCTGGGGTCTTTATGGGGGAGGGGGCTTCAGGGGATGCAGAAGGCGGGAAGATTTTTTTAAAAGTTAGGCGGGAGAGAGGGAGCCCAGGGCTTACCAGAACAGCTTCTTTTAAAACCGGCCCCTTCCGTCTGTCTGTCCAAGCTGAGCGTGCCTGTGTGCCCGTCCAGCCACACATCCTCCCACCTCCAGAACTAGGCCAGCTTCCCAGTGCCTCGTCTCTCCCAGCCTGCTCCCCTCCTGATGCCCTCAGAGAATGTAAATCAATCTCTTTGTGCCTTAGTTTCCCCACCTGTAAGATGGTAATAATGCTACTTCAGACCTCAAAAAGTGTTTTATGATTAGTGACACGTGCTGTCCTCGGCTCCCTCCACATCCAGCCTCCCTGGCATCACTGACCTGGGTCACAAGTCACGTATGCCTCCTCTCCCTGCACCTAGCCCTCCAACCCTGCCAGTGCAGCGAGCGTTCCACCCACAGCCCACCTTGCGTCAGCCAGGATCTGGGTCAAAAGGTGTCTGTTTATCCTTTAAGATCATCAAAGAGGAAGCATGCTGCCTTTGACCAAAAGGTGCAGAGAGTCTACTTCTCTTGTCTTCAAAGACCAGGGTGCTCATTAACTCAGTTCCCGCATTCTCAGGGGCTTGCAAAACCGTGAGGCCCTGTTGGGGAGGGGGCTCTTGCAGATCCTAATCCTAACAATTGTGAATTGAGGAAAGGATCCATAAAGGTAACATGGAAAAAAAACCTGTAGCAAGAAAACAAAAAAGAGATAGGCTCTCTGACAACCAGAACATGCATGTAATGAGAACAAGTAATGTTTCTAGTAGGAATGAATGTCGGAAACCTGTGGCAGCCATCAAAGTCATCTCTGAAATTCTTAGCGTTTTCTCTCTCATTTAGTAGAAATATTTTAAATGTATACTGAAGTGGATAACTTTGGTTCTTTGGATATTTTCAGGGATATGAAGATTGGCTACGACATAACTCAGACAGTGAAGTAAATGGAGCGCCTGTGTATGTTGTTCGAAGTGGCGGCCTTGTGAAAACTAGATCACAGAACATTCGAGTATGTATGTTGTGAGTACTATGAAATTGTGTTTTGGTGTCGTAGTACATAGTTGTAGTCCTGATTTTATGTGCTAGATTCATAGATTGTAGAAGCCCGTGAAAGTGGCAAGAGTGTTGCCCAGTGGAGAGCACTAGCCTCACATGCCTGAGCACCAGAGTTCAACTGCACTGTAAAATATAAATAGATACAAAGTAAAAGACTGTGATAGGCCACTCATCTACAGCAGAAGGAAAGTAAATCCTTGTCTTCTAAAATGTATGTCTTCACTTTTCCCAAAAACTCTCACAGGTGGGTGATATTGTTCGAATAGCCAAAGATGAGATTTTCCCTGCAGATTTGGCGCTTCTGTCCTCAGACCGGCTTGACGGTTCGTGTCACGTTACAACTGCTAGTTTGGATGGAGAAACGAATCTGAAGGTTTGTTCATGTCTATGTCTCTGTTGCTCTGGGTAATCAAAGAAGTTTATGTTCATAGTATTTTCCTTTAGGTGGAGTGATAAAATTTGATTTGATAAAGGAAAAATGTCTTTAAGTTACTGAAATTTTTAAAAATTACAAAATTAATGGGTTGAGGCGATAGCTAGTTTGGTAAAAGCACTTGCTGCACAATTATGAGGACCTGAGTTTGGATCCCCAAGACCCACTTAATAATAATCCAGGCAGAACAGTATATTCCTATAATCCCAGCCCTGGGGAGTCTTATCCTAGCTTTGTTAATTCAGATTAAAAATGGAAATGGGAAATGTTCTAAGGAAAAAATATAACCTCTTAATACTTTTGATGCTTTATTTTATATTTAATTTTTTTTAAATATAATTTTT